CGGTTACGTTGTCGGCGCAAATACCCTTACAAGGGTATCCGCCCTGTTTTTTTTGTAAGTAACAGAAAACAGTTTTGGTTTAAAGTTGAAGTATACCGCGCTAAGCGCGGTTGCGTCTGTAACTGCGTTGACTGGGTGGTTGACCACAATAGCGGTGTGAGCGCGCAAGTTTAAGGCGCCCGTGATTCTTTTCTGTTGTTGATCGTAAGAGTCGGCTCGGACCTCGGTTGTTTTGCTTAGGTGATATTATTTATTATTTATTTTTTATTAAGCAGGAATTAAGGATATTTTCTGTTGATTGGTACTTTTGACCGAGTCGAACGCGCTTGCGGAGAACAACCCCGACGACGGCATCGGCAACGACGGCGCGACTTTCGTGCGGTGAGCGGGGTGTCGTAGGATGGCGCGCGGGGCAATTATGGCACGGTATAAGCGAACCTGCGTGGGCACTGAGAGCCGCGCAACCGTTTTATTGGCCCAAAGCGCCGCGCCGCATCGTCTTATATGGCACCCGGCGTGTTTTGGTCTCAGGCTTGGGCTTAGCCCTATAGATTACGGCATCAGACTATTACAACGGAGGTTTGAGGATGGAGGCCAGCGGACGTTGGCGCAGCAACTGTAGCGGAGCGTCGTGGAAGGAACCGATGTGGTCGAGGGCGGCCAGGGCTATCCCCCTCGGTTTTTGTTTGTAGGCGTGGCGGCGGGCCCGGTCAGCGGGGGCTGGCGAGGCGCTAGCAGCCCGTTGTTCCCCGACCCTGTTGCTATTTTATCCTATTTCCCCTATCTGTTTTGTTTGTCATATACTGAGGGTGTAAGACTGCGGTAGCAGCGCGCGGGGGTGTGTTGTATCCGCAGGGATGCCCGAAGAGCAATTACAAACTGTTTTTGTGGCTGTGCCGGGGCCGCGCCCCATTTTGCCTTGGGACGCAGGGCCGTGGTTACCCCCGGGGCCTAAGGGCCAAGCTCAGTGGGTACACCCATGAACTGATGAAATGCAGAGCTGTGTTTGAATTCAGGTGATGGAACTTGGTGAGTAAACCTAAAAAATTTTTTGAACTACATGGGGGGGGGGGCGGGGCCTATTGACCCCGCGGCCTAGGCTGTGTCCTCCGGGACATCCGTTAAAATTGGAATGATACAGAGAAGTTTAGCATGGCCCCTGCGTAAGGATAACGCGCATAAATCAGGACGAGGTCCGACGGCCGAACACTTTTCAAGGTCTTGACATTTACGTGTCGTCGGGCCGGCACTGCGCGGTATAGGGGGAACAGAGTAACAAGGATTGTCGTGTAATGAGACCAGGCCATTGCGGGTGTCGGGCGCTGCGCTAACAGTAGGAGGGGAGGACAGGCAGCGCGGCACTAAAGAAAGTGCGGGAGCTTACCTGGCGGAAACGGGGGCGACAACTTACCTATTGGAGAGATGGCTCAGGCGAGCGGGCTATGGTAGAGGCAAATAGGAGAGGACAGCGGGAGAGCAAAATGATCGGGACGGAGCCCGGTGCAGGGTGCATGTAAAGTAAGGGAAAGAAGATTAGGAAAAAGAAACTGAATGTGGGCGCTAATTCGGGTCAGGGGCACGCGGGAATGAGGTGAACAAGAAAAATCGAGTTATCACTCGATTCTTGACAGAATCGAGTGGGGTAAGAGGCTAGATAGGGGTTTTCGGACAAGGCGATCTCGAATCTGTGGTCAGTTTTTAGCGGTGAGTTAGTGAGTCAGGAGTTAGTTCAGGAAAGGGTTGCGTTGGGCTATGGCGGAGAAGAGGAAAAAAACGGGAAGGAGAAAACGAGATACCACTCGATTCTTGGTAGAATCGAGTGGAGTAAAAGCTGGGATAGGGGTTTTCGGGGCGGGCGACCCCGAATATGTAGTTGGATTGGGGAGATAACTAGCAGATCGCGGAGTTA